CCTTCATGAGGAAACCTTCCATTTTGGAAGGAAGCTTTTTAAGACACAGGATGTTCTAAAGGAAGGTGAAACATTCCATCCTGCAGGGAAGTAAACAACTAAAAGGCCCCAAGAAGTCCCTGAAACTAACTATATACACTAAGCTTCCCGCCCCCCGCCCCCGCCCTTCACCAAGTGTGTATAAGGGGTAAGGACTGCCAGGAGACTCGAGCTGTGTAGAAGAGGCTTAGATCAAGGAGTTGCCTGGAAGAGATGCTGCCCAACCTGTTGAGCTGTCTGCAAGCTGTGCGGTGAGCTCCAGGCTGTCAGCTTTCGTGAGTTTTGCCCATACTGGAGTGGGCTTTTGGTGATGCAGCTGTCATTTCTGCTCCTGTAAGCAAACCCTCACCCTACTCCTGTAAGTAATCCCAATAAAACTCATTGGTTCATCAAGTTAGACTTTGATGGTATCCTTACTTTGGTCTGCCGTCATTGGTGCCTGCTGAGTCACATCATCTTCCCAAGAATAATGTCACACAATGCTTCCCAGTACTGGAGTTAAAAGTGTGTACCACCACACCCAGCTTTTTTATACAGGTTCTGGAGATTGAACTCAAATCCCCATACTTGGTCTTCATGCTTACATGGCAAGTGCTTTACTGACTGAGTTATCTTCCCAGCACCTAGCAAGAGGATTTTGAAATGTCCCTTCCCCGTGGAATGACCTCAGAATGCTGATGCAGGCAGAGAAGGAATAGAGCAGGAACAAGGAAGGCCCAGAGCTGAGAGGTGTGGGAACTGCAGCCCTACATTGTTCTAAGCTAGAGTTGCTGCAGGTCCATATCCTATCCAGTGCCTCAGGGATTAGCAGCCAGAGTGGCTGTCCCTGTAACCTCAGTTGTCAATTTAACATAGTCTAGAATCATCTGAGAGAAACCTCAATTGAGAAATTGCATAGATCAGATTGGCCTGTGGGCATGTCTGTGGGGGACTGATTTGATTGTTAATTGATACATTGTGGGTGGCACCATCCCTAGGCACGTGGTCCTGGGCTGTGTAAGAAAGCTTTCTAAGCATGAGCTTGCGAGGGAAACAGCAAGCAGCATTCTTCCGTGGTGTCTACTGTACTTTCTTGGCTGTGAGTGAGTTCCTTGGTCACAGGTAAAGCTGTGTGGAAGAACAAGCAGTTCTGCCTTCAGAATCCTGCCTTGAGTTCTTGCCCTGACTTCCCTCAATGATGGACTATGACCTGGAAGAATACAATAAGCCAAATAATCCCTTTCCCATCCAAGTTGCCTTTTTTTTTTTTTTTTTTTTTTTTTTGAAAGAGGGTCTCATTATATAGCCCTAGCTGGCCTGGAGCTTACCATGTAGATGAGGTTAGCCTCAAACTCACAGAGATCCAACTGCCACTGCCTCCTAAGCACTGGGATTAAACATATGCACAACCATGGCTGGCCTCCCTAAATTGATTGTAGTCAGGACGTTTTATCACAGCAACAGAATGAAACTACAACAGTGACCAGACATATGTTTGCCCAGGGCATGCCCAGTTTGTGTCTGTGGCCTCAGCTTCATTAGTTATATTATTCTCTCTCAGTCAGTCTCAGACCAACCCCGTTCTGGAAGATAAATGGCTACCCTATAAACATCCATAGAAATCAACTGACAGAGGTTGCTACAAAGCATCGTGTTGGTTCATGACATGAATGAAGAAAAAAAAAACATGAGCAACAGCATAAGCCAGGCAGAGCAGGAAGGAACTCTACTGCAGGGCCTGTCCACTGGCCTACTTGGCCTAGGGTCCTCTCTAGCCCCAGGTGAGGAGGTGTTGAGGACAGATGTCAGAATTCCTCTGGCTGCCATTGGTCTCAAATTAATGGGTGGTAGACTAGAAGGTTGCCCTCTAAGATACTTCTTCATCTTCACAAGTTCCATATTAAAAACCTCCTGCAAGGTTGTGAGAGAAAGATCACCACCTAAGTATGTGGCCCAGGTGTCCCTGGGGGCTTTTTAGGGAGCAGGGAGCCCAAGCTCACAAAGAACAGGGAACTAGAAGCATGGTCTCAGCATTCTAATCTCCTTCTGATCCAAAACAAGTAAAGGAGTTCATGTACAACTCTGCCTCTTTATTCTTTATCTCCTGGGTGTTGTTTCACCAGCATTTTACACTACTTCTTTCTAAAGTTCGTAATCCTATGTTTAAAAGTATGTCCTAAATTCTGCTACAACCTTCTGATCCTCAGGAACAAATTGCTTTCAAGTCAATTCTCCCTCATTTTATGTGCTGAGCATTCCCATGTCTTAGGCACAAGGTCTAGTTAAGCCAAAGGCAGATATACCCGACTCCGTTCAGGGCTCATCACATTTCCAGCACTGTTCCCTTGGCTAAAATCTTGGTATATAAACACCCAAAATGTATTACAAGGCTTAGGATTTCTTGGAGGCATTAAGGGGACAAAACAAGGGTTATATGACCAGACATATTTACAGAAATGCAGGTTTAAAAATACTGATAAGTTCTTTACTACAAGATTTTTTCAGACCCTTCAGTACGTGAGCAGGTGTATGAACCATGATAAAGATGGAGCATGAAGAGACATTTCCCTCCTGCTTGATGGCAGTGCCCTCTTCAGTTCTGGTAGAAAATCTGGCACAAGTATTTAAAGGACGTATTTTGGGAGCCACTGTTCATTCCTTAAGCCTTGCTAGATATATGCATACAGTGTATACAAGTAATATATGTATAATACCTACCAGTTACTATTATTTCTTTTACTTTCAACTACTTTGATATTTGTTCTTTTTTATATCACATGTGGTATATACATGTGTGTGCATGTTTGTATGTGTATGTGTGCATGTGGAAGGCTGAAGTCAATGTCAGGTGTTTTCTTGATCATCCTCCACTTTCTTTCTTGAGGTAAAGTCTCTTGCTGAACTTGTAGTTTGCTGACTTGGGCTAGTCCAACCACCTAGGCTGGTGGGGATCTACTGTCTCTGCCTCTCCAGTGCTGGGACTGTAGGCAACTGCCATGTAGCTTTTATGCAAGTTCTAGAGATGTGAACTCTTGGGGCTCACACTTACATAGCAAGTGTTTTATATACAGCCGTCTCCCTAGCCCTATTATGACACTTTAACACCACGTTTTATCACCACTGAAAAGATGACCACGATGAATTTTTTTTCTAACTATTCATTAAGGAATGCCAAATACAGAATGTGGGTACTATTCTCTGTTTATTGTATCTATTTTTTGAACCAAGAACTGATATTCTTTTGACTTTGTGTCATCACCTAACTTTATAAGCAATCCAAATCCAGCAATAAAGAAGTTTCATAAAAGAAACATTTATTTTCAAAATTATTCTCTCTCACTTGGTCACTTTTGCTCACTCTCTCTGCATCAAGCAAAAACAAAATAAGAGAAAAATCCCAAATCCCAGACATGAAATGGAGATGTCTCTTCTTTCTCAGGCCAAGATAAAATTCCTGCTAGATTCCAAAGTAAATTGTACCAGAACTCAGAGGATTCCCGCCAACCCCACTGGATCTCTCCACTAAGCTCGGCATTTATGTGCTGTGAAGAAAACCTGCAGTACAGTCTTGAGTGCCTTACCAGGATTATACTTTATAAAGCTCGAGAAACATCACCAAGAAAATGATTAAGTGACCGTGTTATATTTGAATTTCCTCATGACTACAATGTAGATTACAATCACCGAGGGTGCAACATAACAAACCTCTGCCTTCTATTGCTTTTCTCCACACGGAAAGACTTGGAGATAAGTGCTTAGGGTGAGAGCCATAAAACGAAAATATGAAATAAGCTGGTCTTTTCTTTATATGCTATGCTTATATTTATAAACGTTTACTAGAAGATTCTGATTCAGTTTTGCATTCTCCCCCAATTTTTAAATTTTTATGTATTTTGTGTATGTGGTATATGTGCATCTTTGTGTGGGCACACTCACCTCTATGCATGTTCAGAGGCCAGAGGAGGGTATCTGGTGTCCTGCTCTATTACGCTCTGCCTTATGCCTTTGAGACAAAATCTTTCACTGAAATTAGAGCTAGGGTAGAAGCCATCAAGACTCAACAATCCTCTTGTCTCTGACTCTGACAGTGCTAGGGTTACAGATACTTTTGGCCAAGCTGGACTTCTTATGTGAATGCTGTGGATTTGAACTCAGATACTCATGTTTGCACAGCAAGTATTCTTAAGCATTAAATCATCTAAATACATTTATTTATTTGTGGGGGTGGGCAGGGGTGCTTACATGCTGCTGTACATGTGTGAAGCCCAGAGAACAAGTTGGAGGAGTCAATTTTCTTCTTGTGTGTCCTGGGGAATCAAACTTAGTTTATCAGGATTGGGAAAAGTACCTTTGCCTGCTGAGCCATTTGGCCAGCCTGTTCCAACTGTTTTTTGACTGTTGTATCTGATTATAAATGCCTATAACTGAGACCATTCTAGCAAAAGAAACCCTTTTTAAGCTGGGGGTGGGGGGCATACTAATTTTCCTTAAAGCAACTTCTAAGCATTTTTACTATAAAATAGGTACAGTGAAAGAGGAAGTTCTGCAAATCAAACAAACACACAGCTCTTCAACAGCACATTGAAAACTATGCAGAACTTTTTATTAGGCTGCTTGACTGTGCCAGGTCTCAAACAAGTACTTATTCTGCTGTGACATCTACAGAGCAATGTATCCATTGTTCTCTGGAATTTAATTCATTTTAAATTACCCATCCAAATGATAAAACATGAGATGTGCTGCACTCTGGGGGCAAAATGCTAGGATTGTTCTTATTATGACTGTAACTGCCAGCCGGGAAGCAATTCAGCCTGCTCTAATTAGAAACCCTGATTATTGTCTCTTAAAAAACTATTAGCTCTAGAAAAGTAAGTGAAATATTGTTAAGTGGAGGAATTGGGATAAATGATCTTGCCTACTCTGGTGTGAGGGCAAGCTTGGCATCACTATACCCAGACTTCCCACAAAGCAGAGCCACAGTCTTTGGAAGAGAAAACTTTATTTTCAAACTAAGGCAGCACGGGGATTCTCTTTACGGAAAGATGCAGTTTAAATGTGTATTAATACAGTCAATAAATTATTTTTTCTGATCAAGGACTACTGTGTAAATGCCTCTGAATCCAAAATATTTTAACTGCTTATTCATGCTCTGATCATTCCTAAGAGTTAAATTACCATCTGGGAGCATTAATAACTGGGCATTACAAAAATATTAAGATAAGAATCTCAGAAGAAAACACGCAAGTGTAAGAATTCATATCTCCTGTATGTTACACATTTAATATAAATCTTTGAAGCAAGTTTAGATAAAATAAAAATCAAAGTTCTCAAAAAAGTAAACTTTTAATTGCCAAATATTCCCTGCTGCCCCAAATATTGGAATTCTTTAATCTCTATGCAAATGTATGCTTTCAAACTGCTTAAAGGATATGTATGATACACCAGTTTTCAAATGATAAAGCCAGTGTTTTTGCAATTTTAAGAAAATTGGATAGAAGATATTATACAACACATACACACCCACACACGCAGAGGAGCCTGGTGATAAAATGTGACCTTTCCCACAATGAGCATATAAAGCCCTTGAATCTTCCGGGAAGAAACAGTGTCACCCCTCCCTGCAGTCCAGGTAGTTTCCTTTAATCCAGTAGCAAATCTGGGCATATTTGAGGGGCGTGATTCTAACAGCCACATTAAAGTCCTGTGGAGAGCCATTCATGTCTACCCACTGATGCCCTGAAAAGATGCCAATAATTTTTCGCTCCCATTTCTGCTGCTGTCTCTTCCACATCCTCACATAGACCCCTGAACCACTGGCCCCAGGCTGGGCATCACACTGCTGGTAGAGCAGGTCGTACGTCTCATCTTTGACATCACAGAAGCGGTACACCAAATTTCCTGGCCGATCATTGTCATAACCAGAGAAGTGGATCCTGCCTCCTGGCAGCTGCTTAGCAGGAGGGCTCACCCCGATCTTCATGAACTTCCTCTTGTGGGGTTTCTTGAGTTCCAGAAGAGCATAGTCATAATCCATGCCAATGTCGTTGGCATTGCCCTTGATCCAACCCTTGGGCACATGGGTGCGTTTCACCCGGATCCACTGAAATTTCATCTTCTCTGGCATGGCTGAGCTCGAGCTGTTGGCTCCTCGACCACCATCTTTATACTTGGGCTTCAGGAAGCCCACTCGGAGTTTCTGTGTTCCTTTCACATACGTTTTCCCATCGTGTATGCAGTGGGCAGCTGTGAGGACGTGCTTCTCTGCAACCAGGGTGCCAGTGCAGCCCGTAGATAACTTGACCGATGTTGAGAAAGGATAGTTGAGTAGGAAGTCCTTCCCAAAAATGCTAAATCTGCTGTCAGAGCCATAAATCTGCCGCTTCCTCCGAGACTTTACCGCAGTTTCTGGGTCTCGGTGTTGCGCCCTGCCTTCACCATTGCTGAGGATGTAGATGCCCACCCGAGTCTCTGTGCGGGTGCCATTGGAATAGAGGGTTTCATAGGAAAGGTACTGCTTGGCCTCCTCATAGGTGGGCAGTGGAACCCCCTTGTGACACTGGGGTCCACAAGAGGAGGACACCTCCAATTTGGCTTCAGCACCAAAGTCTGGCTTTGTTAAGTTGAGGGTAGACTGGGGCAAGACTACGGGGAGGCGGTAAGCTGGCCAAGTAGGTTTCCATGGGGCACTGTAAGGACTCACCTGCCTGACAACACAGAGCAGGATAAGGAGGAGGAGGAGCCCTGGGATCCCCGTCATGCTGAGCACCACTGTAGAAACAAAGAGAAGAGGTCAGGAGGGACAAGGGCGGGAGCTCATTTATGCCAAGCCTGGCAAAGTCAAGCAGCACACTGGTCATGCTTCTAAGACTGTGAGCTTACTTAGGGTTCAGAGTTGGAAAGAAATCCTCAGGCAATCATCTCACAGTGCAAGGGCTTCACCTTGGGAACATTCCTATGGCTGGGGGCCCCAAATGAAAATGGCTGTTCCTTCACTTCTTAAGAGGCCCTTTATGATGACACATTGCAGGGCAGCGTGTGCCATTATCAGGAAAACAGATGACCAGCGCTTATTTTCATATGATTCTGAGCCTCCTTGATACCTGATTATACACCTAGTTCTATCCTACACTCCTAGTATTCCAGTCCCCCCACCTTTTGATTGATTCTTATTTTATGTGTATGAGTGTTTTGCCTGCATGTATGCAAGTGCACCACATGCATGCAATGCCTTCATAGACTAGAAGAGGACACTGGATCCCCCGAAATTGGCATTACAAATGATTGTTGGCTGCCATGCAGATGCTGGGAATGAACCCAGGTCCTCTGAAAGAGTAGTCGGTATTCAACGACTGAGCCATCTCATCTCTCCAGCCCCAGCCCCTCAGCCCTCTTTTTTCTGTCTCCTTTCCCATTCTCATTATAAAATCTTATAAAATTTTTAGGAGGATTGGAGAGATGGCTCAATGGTTAAGAGCACTGGATACTCTTGCAGAGGACCCTGGTTTAGTTCCCATCACCCACATGGTGGCTAACAACCATTCATAACTCCAGCTCCAGGGGATCCAACAGTCTCCTCTGACCTCCTGAGGCACTGCATGCAAAGGTGCACATTACACACAGGCAAAACACTCATACACATAAAATAAAAATAAAACACTTAAAATTGTGGAAACTTGCTCAAATAAATTACACTTCTACTGAGCAGCCAAGCAGCCATGAGGGATAGTCATAGGCACTAGGAATCCTCTCTCTCCTATGTGATACAGGCATTTGAAAGATGATATGGGAATTTTGAAGCCGCTGCTTTCAATTAAAACAACCTTAAAAAAACATATATACATACATATGTGTGTATATATATAATATATATATATACACACACATATATTCAGTGGATCCAGGCCTCTAGAAATCAAAATATTCCTTTTCTTAGAGGTGTTGGTGGCATAGTGGTAAACATAGCTGCCTTCCAAAATAGTCCCTTTATTTTGGATTATACAGCATATTAAAAGGATCTTTGTCAAAGATCTGAAGCTATAACACTGTATCGGGTCTAACTCTATGGTTATTATTGTTGCCTATTTTTTTCAGATGTTTGTGTCTGTGTTTCCAGTTCATCTGATGTCTTCAAGTTTGACCTGTGTTAGCATTTGAAGAGCTATTGACTGTGTTACTGGAAGAGCCGATGAATACTATGGCTCAGAAAGTACTTTTTTTTTAAACGATGCATGGTGACTTCTAGTGACAGATGTTCATGGATGATGTGGTAGCTCAGACAGAGGCATGAAGTCCGATGTGTGGAATAAGAGGGAGAGGAGGATGTTCTAGGGGAGAGGAGAGGAGGCAGGTGCTGAAGTTGAAAAGACAGATAAATCAAGACAGAGAAGAAACCCTTGGGAGGAACAGCAGTCTGTGCAAGAGCATGCAGGTGCACTACACTGTGAGTCACTTCAGGAACTATATTTACCTCACCAACGTTACACACAGAAGATGGTGGAGGCAGCAGGTGAGAGCCCCATTGTGGAGGGCTGTGCATTCTAAATGCAAGAGTTCAGATTTTATTCTGAAAGATAAGTTTAAAACCTTGGTCAATCATCCCACAAGAAAAGCAATCACAAAGGAGGTAGGAAGTGCTTTCAACAATGTTTAAGCCTCAGTGGGCTCCAAATGGCTCTGAATCTTCTGGTTCAGCTGACTCAGCGGGTAGAGTAATTCATTCACAATCAGGCATCTCGGAATGGGGCAAGAGGGGTATTTCTCAAAGGCTGGCTAGGGGAACAAAGCAGGAATAAGAGGAAACAGTGATTTTCTTATTTTTTGCTCTTCGAGAGTACAGACCCTGGCAATTTCTGGGTGCCTTGTGCTTATTTTACATAAAACTAAAAATTCCATTGAACTGATCTAGTCCACCTGAGTATGCCAATCCACATTCCCAATATCCATACACTGTATAAAGTATATGATCCACCCACCCACCTCTGCTGTCTTTTTGCTGTATGCTCTTGAATTCCACTTCTGCCAGGGAGAATTTTAATGGGAATAGGAAGGAATGAGACCCCCTAAAAGCCAATTCCCTCGGATTTCCTAATTCCTAAAAATTCTTAACTTCTCTGCATCTTTCTAGATAGGAAAGGTCCTTAGGCACTTTGGTGGGAAGGAAACATATTTAATTGTTTAAGTCATTGAAATCATGGGTTGCATGGATTTGTGTACATGTGTTTGTATTGTTTATATGTGCTTGTAGGGATACTGTCAGGACTAATAGTTCAAATGAATGGTGTCTTGATGCCAGCAGGGTCCAGCCAGCAATAGAGAGCTTGGCAGTGTGATTATGATAGCCCTTCTGGAGGCCTGTGGGGCATGCTGTGTCTGACTTTCCCACATACTGGCTGAGGACCCAGCTCTTGAGCTCATCTAGGACTTGAACATTCTTTTCTCTATGGAAATTACTAAACAGGTGACTAGCTGTCCCACTCAAATCAGAATCCATGTTGAGTACTATCTACTAAAAGGATTGGGTGTCTTCCTCTCAGTCTACAATGCACCATCCTGTCTTCCCTTTGCTCACAGTGTGAAGAATCTTAATTCTGCTAAGCCTGAGCAGCACATGTATTATACCAAGTTTTATGTCGATAATAAGGAGATGCAGAATCTAGAGGTCCAAGCTGCCAGATGTCTTGTTTTTAAAATACAGCCCTGTGTGAAAGTAGATGAGACAGAATTATGTAATTATGTATTTATCCTAAGATGTGTATATTTTAAACATACAGGAAGAGCACAAGAGTTATGATATTATAGTATCAGAGCATGAATCTTCAAATCCAAAATCAGAAAGGTATATGTTAACTGGATCCTGAGTATATAGAGTTTGAATTATCAGCTGACCCAAAATCACAGTGCATTAGCTTTATCTATTTATCTAAAAATTTAAAGAGTTCATTGACAAGAGTGTCGGAGAAGAGAATGGCAAGAAAAACTCTGAAACTAGTGCAAAGACATTTTAAAAATCCATCTAGGAGCCTTGTCTTAATGACTTAATCCTCTCAGGCAAAATTAACTCAATTTTACTTTTCCAAGTGCTTTGCCTGTACAATAAATCTGTTTATTTAAAAAATACTTCCAAATGTCCCAAGGTATGCCCCATTTCACAAGTGCCTCTATAGTATTATTTTTTTCTGTTTTTCCTTCTTGAAAAATAATGTTTTCAAGAACAATTCAAACAGTGACACCGCATAGAGCCATAACCAGTCAATTCTTGGGGTATGAGCTCTGGGTAGTCAGGTACACTCTCCCCCTATCATAGCCTGTCAACAGGAAGCTCAAATTTACTCTTTGGCAAATGATAGATGACCAGGTATCAAGAACTTTGGAGATCATTTCAAATGACAGATTGATAAAGAGTCTCCTTTATGATAGAATGTTACCAGTTTAGAGCTATGAAATCTTAAATTCTGATCATTTAGCCAGGAGTCAGGGAGAAGCAGGCAACCTATGAGAAAAAAACTGCTAAGCCTTTAAGGTAAAATAAAGCTTTCTCCTTTAAAGATCAACTTTTGGATACTTTGTAAGCACTAATTTTTCTTAGTTTGACAAAAGGCTTATAAGTTGCCAATATTATTACTAAATTGCATTAATTTACATGATAAGACTTTGTTCCTACAACATTCTTCTTTAAGATTTGTATGTACCTCTGAAAGTTACAGTGTTAATTCAGATGTATAAATGCATGTAGATTTCAAGAAACAATGCAGGTTGCTTTTCCAAATTGATTGGGTTTTGGAATACTGATGAGAAACTGAGAGCGAAGGCTCTACACTCCCAGGTCCTCCTGTAGACTTAAACTGGCATGGCATTTGTATTAAGGTGACAAGCTTCCCAAATCATTTGCTCTGTTATCAGATCTAATTTAAGGTGGGTTCTGAATAGGAGTCTAAGCCAGGTAATCACTTTCCCTGGTCCTTGCAAGCCAGGATTCTATACTTGAATAATTTTCAAGGATCAAAAAGTCCAGGCAGGTCAGGGACTATGTTATTTATGGGGCTAGAGGCATGGTGAAAGGAAAACCTATCACATTAATCTCTTATTTTGCTGGGAAATAAAAATCTCCATGCTCACTCTACCAAAACCAAAACACACACACACACACATACACACACACACACACACACACACACACAGGACTGTAGTAGAAGGTGAGTTCCAGAACACAGTGGAGTGATGATGGCACGGATGCTTTTAGGACAAGTCCTAAAGAAAAAGTAAGAGGGAAACTTCACTGCCCATTGAGGGTCATTTCTGAGGCATGCACACCCACCCTGACTCACTTCTATTACTAACAGCTGTGATACTTGATAACTGGGATACTTTAAAATAAAGTAGGTGACTTTACGTTAATTTCTCAACGTGCCTGATTAAAGGATAGCCCCCCCCCCCATAAAAATTATTGTTTCTAAGTTACAAACTCAAGGTAAGCCTGTGCTATTCACATTTAAAATGATTTACAGGTAGAGACACTCAAGGATGTAAACAGATGTAATAAAAGCATTTCCAACCCCATAGTTGGCAAGGTATAAATGGGCTAGTTAACTTTAAATTCTCTCTCATGTTTAAAAGCCCCTACATGGTGATATTAGTTATGCAATTTGGGAGTCTTTTAGATAGACCTACTGAAGGGGTACCCCAATTGCCTCACCCTGCATCCCTCTTCAGCATGGAAAAAGCCAGAGCGGTCTGTGTCCCAGATTCCCTGTTGGGAATTTGGGTAACCTCTTCAAAGGATGGTGTGATAAGAACAGGAGGTAGGAATTGGCTAGGCAGTTAGGGTAAAAAGACCCCAAAGAAATATAGCCAGTTTCTTGGCTAAAAGTCAAAATGTCCTTTGGCCTCAGCAACGTACTATGTTCCAAAGGCTAAAAATGACAAAAGTATTTGGGAGCTCTTTATCTTATCCCTAAAAGATTTTAGGGTTACCTCTTCAGAAGGGGGAATGAGGGAGTGGGCATGGATTTGATCAAAACAACTCATATGCACGTATGAAATTCTCAATAAAGTTTTTTTTTTAAGTTAAAAAAAAGTGGATTACCTTGTTCTCATAGAGCTGTTTGGGAAACTGACATTTTAAAAAAGGAATGAAAAGTTTCCAAATCTTATCTTCCACACAGCTAAATCTGGATGACAAAATGGTAGGTCTACTGCATCCCATTTCTAGGAATGAGCCTTTGCAATCCTGCAAATTCCTAATACACACAAATTATCTTTTAAATTTTCCAAGTAAATACATTTATGCATCACTTCACCTAGATGGCAAAGCAGAATGGAAAATTAAGGTAAGCAAATATTTTTTTCAGTCTGCTTAGTAATACAGACACAGCATTTCTTTTCCAACTCTGGGTATCTGACTCACAAGAGGATTACACATTCCATTCTCCACCATGCAATATAAGTCACTGTCTAGCTGTTTAGCATTTCAAAATATTTATGCTTTATGAACATGCTGCCACCTCATAAGCTCAACAATAATTTTCTGGTAGAGGGACTTTGCACGTGCAAATGACATTAATCTCTCTGGGGACTGGGCACTGGGCCTGCCTTTTCTGATTCCACACTTCAGCCTTGAGTACTGCAATAACTCAAGTCTCCTCAAGGGGGCCAATGTTTGCGAGAATGGCTACTCCTATAAGCAAGTGCTATAAGAGAGAACCTAACCCTTCAGATAGCTATTCCCTCGTTTGCAAGGTATGAATTCCTGTGACCACTATAAACAGCAATGATAGAAAGAACCAGCAGGAAAGCATGTGAAGATTCTAGCTCTGATACCATTTGAGAGGATTTCCCAGGGTCCTCCATGCAACCTACAGCCAGGAATCCTGAACAATGAGGCCTGCTAATTCCTAAAGCAAATGCCTACACATGAGTAGAGGTCTGTGAATACGCCAAAGCCAGTCTTGCTCTCATTTTCCTGAGTCATAGAACCTGTTAAAGCAAAACAGACCTAATCACATCATGGTTTAAGAATCACAGACTTGGATAGGAAATGGAGGCCACTTCCGAATCCAGCAACTCCAAGCACAATCGTGGTCACAGAGTTTAACTTCTCGATCAGATTTTAGGCAAAATGAACTACTGTAGTGATCCTGAGACAGCCTGGCAGCAGAACACAGTGTGTAAAGCTGTCAATGGTGAGGCCATGAGAAACAAATTCCCCAGAGCCAGTGGGAGTTCTGCATGAATAATGCATGGTACATTTGCTCCTCAAGGATCCATGGGAGAGATGCTCAGGAGAACCTGAAACTATTAAGCACTGTAGACCTGGGCCAACAATGTTCTCAGACACTAATGGACACGTTGGCACTTAAGCCACAGACAGAAAACACACCTACATTCACTGTCTACCTGAATAGTCAGCAGTGATACAGAAATGAGATCCATATTAATTACCTTGGAAAATGCTTCCTTTCCAGTTTAGGGACTGAGAAGCATGACAAGTTACCTGTTGATTGTGTAGGTGGGGAAAATGCAAGTGGAAAAGTAAGTACATGGTGTATATATGGCCTTAAACTCCCAGAAGAACATGGTGTATCTACGGCCGCAAACTCTCAGAAGCAAGTGAAGTGGCTTTTGTGACATCTCTGGCTCCTCCTTTCCATCTTACCTCCAATCCACTCCTCAAAGATTACTTTAAATGCTCACCGTGTAAACTAGGCTTACCTCAAACCCACCATCCTCCTTCCCCAGCCTCTCAAGTGCTTGGATTTACCAGCATTCACCACCATACTTGGCCCCTAAGACATTTCTTTTTTTAAAATATTTTATTATTTTTATTATATGTGTATGAGTGTATTGTCTGCACGTAGGTAAGTGCACCCATGTCATACAGTGCCCACGGAGGACAGAAGAGGCCATCAGATCCCCTGGAACTTGAGTTACAGACAGTTGTTGGCTGCCATGTGGATGCTGGGATTTGAACCTGGGTCTTCTGCAAGAACAACCAGTGTTCTTAATCCCTGAGCCATTTCTCCAGCCCCCAAGAGATTCCTTGAAAGACTTATAAGGTCTGTTTTTACTGGTCTCATGCACAAGTACAGTCTTGAAACTGTGTACAATTAATATATTGATACTAATTCACTGTAGAGATTTTGGCCTCAGCTGACTTCCAACTCTTCCCTCAGGGCCTGGTAAGTCAATTCTAGCATTGGCCTACCTGTTCCTAAGGAGAATGCTAGGACCCCTAGGTGTCAGTTTCGGGAGCTGTGAGGAACACATCCTATTCTAACTCTGATATGGAACCTGCTCCTTTCTACCAGCCACAGGCTGTTTCTGAATTCTTCTGGGTGTCGCCCAATGGACAATAAAACAAGATTTTTATCAACGACTTTCTCATGAGATGCTTGAGGGGTGGTGGGCAGGTGGGGGAACCAACCTAATGTGTATCCTGAAGAGGAGTGGTGGTGTTGCTTGATCAGAACAAATCTTCACCTTTTCAAGGTTCTAGGGAGGGAGGGAAGCCCTTATATTTAAAAGTTAACAATTCGTGATAAATGTCTACAGATTGAAGATAAAATAGTTAAGACAGCGTTTTCTAGGTTTAGCACCCGGAGCAAAGCACCGGTCTGCAACAGCCACAGCAGAACAGAGCCTGTTCCCAGCCTATTTGCTGACCTTTTCTTGCTTGTTAAGGTGTGCTCACAATCATGTGTCTAGGTTAAAAATTAAAGCTCAGAACGTAATGGAATCAGATACAGTAGAGACAAAACTCAAGCTAAGCAAGTGGTAGTGGTGGTGGGATGTGTGTACGTGGGCAAGGGGTGGCGGGAACAGCTCGGCTGCACTCTACTCCCACCTAGCACCCTGCACCCAAGACGGCAGTTTCAAAACCTTCTCCCATCCACTTCATCAGTGATACTGCGTGAATCCAAATGCCCCATAGCGCGTGTATCTCCTGGAGACCTGCAGGCTGTGGGGAGGGGGAGTCCCCAGCCTGGACCCCGCACGGCGGCGGGGAGAGGTCTCCGGTGCCCTCGCAGCCCTCAGCCTCCCGCCTCGCGCGCACCCGGCCCTTTGTCCCGCTCCGGCACACTGCTGGAGTCTCCGCGGCCGGCCGGACGCGCCCCGAGCCCGCACTGCACTCACCGTCGTGGAGCAGCCCGCCGGGGCCGCGGCCGTGCGCCGCTCAGACAGGTGTGGGCGCCGAGAGGACGCGCGCCGCTCCCATGCCTGCCCCGCAGAGCGGCAGAGTGCGAACCAGCAGCGCCCGCAGAGGCGGGATCGTCCCCTGCGCCTCCAGGGCCCGCCCGCCCCGCCTCCGGGCGAGCCGCACAGCGCCACCCGCCCCGCGGTCGCCGCCCCTTCCCCTCCCAGTCCGCCTCCGGCCTCCGCGGTCCACAGTGCCTGGCCCGCGCAAGGGGGTCTCCCCGGAGCCGCGGCTCCTGCCGGTCGCTTTGATAGACTCGTCCTGTTGGAGACCCATGCACGTTTTTGCTCCCAACAATGCACACCCAAGCCCGGCCAAGTGATCCTGGGGTCTTCACTGCCAATAGTCTGCAAAGACAGGGCGTCCCCCAAAGGAGGTCCCCTCCAGCCTAGACCACCCCGGTACATGAGGAGCCCCTGGGCAGATTGGAGAAGTTGGCTTCAAACTTGTATAGTTTTTAAGTGATGACTGAGCTCCTTCTCGCCTTAGCTTTTTCCAGGGTGCCTCTAGTGAACAGAAACTTGGTACTCCAGGGCCAGGACAACCCATGTGCATCCCCAAGGGCTCCCCTGAGTGCATGGCACAGTAGGGTATTGCACGCTTGACGGACCTCCCAGCTGCAGGCTGGCTAGTGAGGTCCCTGACCTGGTCTTTATTGGGGCACCAGGGCCCAACTGGTGGAGCCACCTAGCCTGCTTTCCTAAATTTCTCCAAGGACTCCACAGCTGGGGGTCTTCTCCAAAGCAGCCTGGTGACCTCACTATTTAAAGATCTAATGTTGGATAGAGCCTTGGTATTCTCTCCCAAACACATGAGTGTTGATATAGAGTCTCAGCCACTATGAACCAGCTTCACAGGCAGGCCAGGGAGATGAAAGGGGGATGGATCCTGTGGATTTACCCTAACGACTGGATGATTGGAGAGGCTTAAGAATGCTCATAGTCTGACAGCTACTGAACGGTAGGACAAGACTTTGCTCAGAGGTCATTTTTTGCCTATCAATCCAAGAGTAGCTTTCCCTTTTCCCATCAGAGCCTGCTCTCTGAAAGGAAGGGCCTAACACCCTATTCCACACCAGGATGTTAATGACATGCCTAGTAAGCTCCTGTTTACATTTGATTTTAAATAGGAAAGCCCTGAGCACAAGTACTGCATGGTGTTTCTCAAATATAAAGGAAATGAGTATTGTCCACCACTTTAAAGGCAGAAGATTCCTGGATTTCCCAAGTCTTGGCTTAAATTTTCTTTTAAAATAGTCCCTTAATACATATTAATATAATATATTAATATACTAATATATACCCAGATACAAAGTTTTGAACAACTCAGAATAAAATCAAGCCAGGTGTGGCAGAGCCAGGTGGATCTCTCTGAGATAGAGGCCAGCCTGGTCTACAAAGCAAGTTCCAGGCCAGCTGGGGCTAAAGGTAAATTAGTGTTAGATGGGGTGCCTTTCCTTTCTCTATTATTCTTGTGTGAGGCGCCCTCTAAGGACTCTCTCCTCTCACCACTGTCCTCCCTTCTGCCTACCACAGTGCCTGTGTTTTCCCTCTGTCACTCAGTATCTGCTTTCATTTGCCTCTACTCCACTGTTTAGAAGATAACTTTGTGCTGTCCCTTTCTTATTAGCATAACATTGAAAATGATGACTACTGGAGTGGAAGAATAAGAATATTTGAGCACAAAAGCTAGATTGGTACTGGGTTTGAGATGGTCATCCCAATGATCCAGAATGTGCTTATATTCACTTTTTACCATACAAGAGAATACTAAGTAAATTACAGACCTCCAAGGATCTATAGCTTCCAATTGGATAAACCATTAGAAGAAAAGAGGGGAATCACAACTACACTCAAATTTTTAGATTAACTCCAACCAACAAATAAGTACCTGTTACATGGAAAATAGTATGTCAGGCATAAAACCAAAGAGATGGTGGCTAGCAGACAGTTCAGCAGCACAACCAAGGGTACGCCACGGCATCCAGCTGAGACAGATGCCACCACAACAGACCAGAAAGCAAACTCAGACCCTTAACCTGCCACCCACTAAGAGCATGCTTTCAGAAGCATTGCCATGAAACACCAGTTTAGGCCCGAAGTCCAGAATATTTATAGGCTTGGAGTTCCTTATGACTAAAGCAGGCTAAATCAATATGGTGTTGGCTGCCTACCAGCTTCACTCTAGATACCAATGTGTGGGTTAATGAAGCAATTGGTTACTTTACAGAAACATGAAGGATGCCTTTGCCAAAAATACTGAGCATAAAGATACCTGATAGATGGTTAAAATGGGATGTCTTCATATCTGGTCTATCCTCAATCTAGTAGTCAGATGCTACTTGGCTCTACATGTAAACACACTGAACATCTGAGAATTGTCTAGGGCTGTAATACAGGGTTAACTTGGCCCATTGCCTATTAGAGCAGGTATGAGTTTCTTTTACTCTGCGCTTGTGCTTTCTTGCCAACTCAAGCCCCTAGAGTCCCTCAGCCCTATCATAAGGCTCAGATCAAACCATGGAACCAGGATACTCATGCAGGATGGTGACACCAACAACGGGAGGAACTCAGCAGTTCCAAACTTAAGCCCTGAAAAATCTGTTAACAACTCTGATGATGCCTGTCACAGGATGGACTCAGCAGTTCCTGGAATAATTCATTTCCCATTTGCCCAACAAGTACAAGGCCAAAATACTTGTTTACAAGGAGGAAACCATCTTTTGAAACTGTCCATGACTAATAGTCAATTTTCAAACTTCAACCCACTCCTTTTCAAAATTAAACAAAAGCCTGTTGCTTCCTCTGTTGAATGGAGCAGCCCAATCAACACTTTGATCAGTGCTAACTCCCTTGTTCTCCTAATAAAGAAACTTTGCTGTCGTGTTTATAATATGAGACACGGTCTCATTTCTGCCTTTTCCATAACTCAAGGTCCCACAGCTGTGTGGGTGGGTCTGCCACTTACTAGCTATGTGGCTTTCTACTTAACCTTTTTTGACCTCAGTATCCTCTTCTATAAAACCAGGACTACTTCAAGTAGATCAATATATATAGATAGATAGATAGATCAATATATATATATATATATTGCTTTAGAATAGTTCTTTACATGCAGTGAGTCACTAATAAATGTTAGTAATTGTTAACCTACTGTACAAAAGAACATGCTTCAGAGCATGGCCCTCCAGCACCACTTTAGCCCACTTTGATATCCATTGCTTACTTATCCTAGCAGCTACAACTTTCCAAGTAGAGTCATGGTGAATAAATATTATTCCCATCATTCAGAATGGGAAACTGAGGCACAGAAATTCCCAAGAACATATCCCGCTCTCAGTCAGTTCCAGCTGTTATTATGTGCTCTCCAAACAGCTAACACACTACCCATAGCCTACAGGGGGCTCAGGGTTTGAACAAGTCTCATTGGTTTTAGATATTCCCTAGGTTTCTTAAAGAAAAATAGCCTGGCTCCCGGGCTGCCTTTGTGAATGCCCATATGGACAGCAATGATAGATTTGTAGAGTACTTTGACCTTTGAGAGAGATGTCCTGTGTAAACAGCAGGTGTGGAGCCTAAATGTTTGCTTTTTTTTTTTTAACTTGTTCATTCTCCCCCACCCCAACCTCACTGCTTTAAAAAATTTTTTTATGTGCACAGCAATTGAGGGTATAAACGCACTCAGGCCTATGCTTACTATCTATGTGCTCTGTATAAGGTTTCTGGGGCTGTGGGGTGCAGCAAGCCAATACCCTACATTTCAAGGAATAGTATGTATGCTATGGACAAAATCCAACACAAGGAAAAGTGAAATATAGGCCAGGTCAGGGTACAGACATGAGCTAGAAAACATGGACGACAGAATCATTCCTATTTACCAGGTCTAAAGGCTTGAATATTTAAAAGTTATTTCCTGATTAAAACACTATCCAATATATACACATATTGAAACATCATACAGAGCCCCATAAATATGTACATTTTTATGTTTTAATGTAACATTTAGAAATAATTTCAATGAAAACCATTTCCATATGTTTTCTTCTATCTTCGGTGACTCTTACCAATTGTTATGTGAATCTAGTAGCTTACTCAGTACGTGGGCATTGTCAGATCCACCTAAGGATCGAAGAGAGAAATGAAAAGGGAGATAAGGAAGCTAGTGGGTGGGGCCTTCCAACCCTATCTGAGCCATAAAAAGTGTGTCCTCCTGAAACACCTTGCTTGCTGCCTTTGGTTTCTCATCTGCTTAACGACCCCTTTTGAATCTCCGAGTCTGTGGCATTGCAGTCCTTACGGGAAGGAGCAGCACACCATTTCCTATCTTTAGACACCCACAGTGCTTGCCATGTGGACCTAAAGTAGGGGAGAATGTGATATTCTGGAGTCAGGCTGACTGGGAAACAATTTAGAATTCATTTGCTTGTTGGGTGACCATGGGTAAGTTATCTGACTATCTATGTCTCACTTTTCTCATCTGCAGTCTGGGGCAAATCAATGGCTGCTGTAAGATCATCAATGCAAGCACATAGCATGGTGCTCAGCACTAAAATTCTAAACCGACACTATGAGTATTAATAATCATTATTACTATATGAATGCTCATTAAATATTTCAGAAATTATTGAACGAATGAATCAAATTGTTATGTTATCAGTGCTAAAATATTTTATCCACATTTTCTAAGAAGAAATTAATTCGGGTCTCCTATACAACTCCCAAATCTTTTTTGATCTGGTCTATAGTCAAGAATGTATCTCTTAGTATTGAGTTTAGGAAAATTTGTAGAATAAGGTTTTACATTTTTCTCTCTTCCTCTGAACTTCTCTGTGTCATCATCAATTCATTCATTCAGTAGATCTTTGCTGAACCACTAACACTACCAGGTCTTTATGTTTAGTGTTTTACAGGCAGGAATAGAACTTTTCCTTAAAGTGCTAAATTTAAAACCTTATGTGATTAAAAAGGGAACACAACAAATTTCATAATTAATTTAAGAAACTAACAAGATAAACCACTAAAAATATATACTCCTTCAAGCATGCAATACAACAAAGCAAATGTATTGAAGCTTTCATAAATTCCTAAATTT